AGGGAAATCTTGATGTTTCATACCAGATAGCTCAATATCATGTGATGCTCTGAGTACTGGCATTTATGAAATGGAGGGAATGGTTAACAGATGTGCATACTCCTGGCATATTTGGCTCATCCCTTCTAAGAATATCTATAATTTGGGTAATATATACTCTCTGGAAAGTTAAACTGTTCAGAGGCATCAGTTCAGGCTTCTGCTACTCCCAGCAACTTCCTGTGGGAGAAACCCAAGTGATTGAAATAGGTGATCTGTGGTACCACCTCTGTGGCTGGGAATTGTTTCACACTGACTGAGGAGGAAATGTCAAGTGGAATGGTGTGAGTGGATTTTAGTCTCTTGTGTAAATTAGAATACTCTTCTAGTGAAAAGGGGCATTTCTCCCTTATCAAATGCTGCATGACCCAACAGCAGAGCATAATGCTGACTTGATGTAGAAGGATTTGCAGCCTGCCTACAAATGCTCTGAAAGCTGCACCCAGTGTGCCTAATGTGTTTCTTACCAGACAACTGGTAGTAAGGTTTAGTTTTTGTTAGTTCTAGCCAACTTTTGCATATTTTTCCTTCCTCAGGGTCCATTTAATCAGCAACACCTCTACTAAGTTTATCTTTTTTTTTTTGTAGATGTGGCTGACTTAATTAAAAACTGAAACAAACCACCACTACCCTTCCCCAAAGCCATTCTTCTCTTCATGATTATGGATGCATGTATCTTAAGAACCAGAACAGTTTTGAAGCTATATTTTTGGCTTTTGGGCATTTTCACCACCTTTCAAGTAATAGGAATAGTAATATTCATAATGCTAATCTCAAAAGCAGGTCATACTACCTTCTTCATGTAGAAGTCATTTTCAGAAAACGTTGTTTCTTTCTCTGTTGAAATATATATATGCATGTATATGTTTGTGTGTGTGTGTATGTATCTGTCCCCAGAAGGTAGTGCTTCTCCTGTCTAGAAATGGCCACAGATGAATGTGGCAGGTATTGCATCCATCGCAGGGAATAAAGCCTTTGAGTTCAGCAAGGTCGTAGTGACTTCTCTGTATTGCTTGTGTTGATTAAATGTATATCTCATTCTTAAGGAAGAAAAAAGTTACCTGATATGGTGTTGGTATATTTTTATTTATTCTTTCCTTCTTAGAAAACATTGAATAATGTGAGAAGTACAGGAAGAAACTGCATATGCCCAAAAATAGGAAGGTTTTGCCCCACTCTCTGGTATCCCAGCAAGAATCTTGTGCCTGTATAATTTACGGACACTTGGTATACTGAGGATGTGAAGTCTGCTACTATTCTGCTTCGGATCATAGTTTACACTACCGTGCACTTTGGGGCTTGGCTGGGCACTATATAGACTTGGTATCTGTGCATTATAACTACAGATTTCAGTAAAGTTGGTTGTTCTTGCTGGCAGTCTTTAATTTCAAAGACTTTGATTGGAGACTGAATAGTCAGGGCTCTTCATGGCAGAGGTAAATTCTTACCATGCTTTTTGGAGCTATAGGTGAGTGATGGGCAGGACTTCAGTCCCACTTTTTCACTTTCCTTCCATTTAATTTGGAGCTGATCCCATCTGTTTTTTCAGAGTTCTGTTTGAAAGCATGGGGTTCCAGAATATGAGATTTTCTGTTATCTGGTCTCCCAACAATAGAAGTCAGTCGTGTTGTACTTTTTGTATGTATGTGGTAGTGCAACAGACATAGGGCTGTGATTTCTAATAGGTGTTTGGCTGTGATAACAGACCCTCGGGCTCTTGTCTGCTGCCCTGTTGTTTTCACTCCTTGTATAAGGTTTTTTATTTTTAAAAAGTTGTTATTTTCATCATTATGTTGCGTATGTTTTAATTTTAAGAGGACAGTCCTTAATATTGATAAACCGATGTCGCTGTGGCATGCGAATAGATGACTGAGAAAGGAAGAATTGGATAGTTTTAAGTGTTCATTGTTTAATTACATTTAATGATGTGACTCCTAAAACAAACTAACTTCATATTATTGTTGAATATCTTAAAAATTTTGCTATGGAAAAAGTAAAAACCTCAAATGTTTGCACTATGCGGTCATGTGCTGCATGTTGACAAGGCTGCAAGGTGATAACCATGACCTGCTCTTTCCTCCCTCCCCCTACTTCTCCCCAGTCTAAAACCAGCATTGAGAAAAGTGAGACAGTCATGTATTTGGTGAAATTTGATCTGTTAGAACAAGTCACGATTACCATGCCTGAGGAAACTGTCTGAGGTTTTCAAGTATGCTGCTTCCATTTCTGTTTATAGATAGGGCAGGAATGGAGTAGTTAACTCCCTAAAGTGCATGGGGTGGGTTTTTGGTTGTTGCTCATTTGTCGGTTGGTGATTTTTGGTTTCAGCAGTGGGTGATGGGGATCAGCAGGAGAACAACAGAAGAACAAAAGACTAAAGAGAAGGTGTTGCTAATGGTCTTAGTTGTAACCAAACAGGAAAAAAAAATCATTGCCTCAGTATTTGTCACAACCTTTTTCAATCACTTAAAGCAAGGTAGAGTACAGCAGCTCAGTCATGTGGTTTAAATGACTGCATATTAAGTTGCAAAGTTTGACAAATAGGAATGTCTTTCTGTTTTCTCCTTTCCAATCTACTGTGTTGTTATTGCCACATTCAGAAATATGGTTGTGTATGCTTTATTCAAAAGTCTACCTTAGAAATGTATGAGACAGAGATTGTGATCTGCTGCGTCTGATTGTTTGCCTACCTCTTCTGGTTGGACTGCTCAAATAACAGTCTTTGGGTAGACTTTTCTTCTTGCCAGCTGGATGCTGGAATAGTGTTGTGTTCCTGTAAGAAATATGATTAGGAAACTTGTCAGATTAAACTGTATTCTAGATACAGTTCCTTAATGAAGACTAAATCACTCCTGATGAAACAGAAGTATGAAGTGCTTACATGGAGGGTATCTCCTGAAGTTTTGGTAATAAGTATGACTTGCTGAACTTTAACACAATTGAAATATCAGTAAGTAAATAATTGAGTAATCCTGGTTTTGTGGGAGGATCTGATAGACAACTGAAAATCTAGAATACTAAAAGTTACTATAATAGTTGTGTGGTTGCTTTTTTTTTTGGTCTCTTTTCCTTGTAAATAGGAAATAATGTAATCAATTGCAGTGGGTGGCAAACCATAACTTGTGTCTGACAAATTCACTTAAAAAACAAAGCATAAAAAACCACCCAAAAACCCCACCTCACATCCAAACTAAACAAAGAATAAAAACCCTGAAACCAAAAACCCACTTGGAAAATCATAAGTGATAAACTTATCATAGCTTACAAAATAAAACTTGCTGCACAGGTTTCACAGGTTATGGTGTTTAATGTTAGTTGGTACAGGATTTTATAATGTCAGCCCACTGTTCTTTTATTTTTTTTCATAGAAATACGGTTTTATCTACCTGGTAGAAATAAGTATATGACTTCATGGTAAATGGAGGCTGAAAAATACCCTGGATAGAAATTTGTTTTTGTTATAAGCCTTTG